TTCTGACATTAACTGACTTCAAGATGAATATTTAAAACTATTTGTAACGTTCATAGGACTACATGCTTCTGCTGAAGGTTTCTTTCTGTTAAAAGGGTTTTTTCCTCTCCCCTTCATGCATGCTAGGCATGAGGGATTGCTGCACACAATGTGAGCTAATATCAAGAGGTGTCAAAAGTATAAATATTTATTACACAAGTAAAAGTATAAAGTAAAAGTGTGAGTATTAACTTAAGCTTTTTACTCAAGTAAAAGTGTAAAATTTCCATTTTTAGAACTACTTAAAGTAAAAGTAATGCAATGTTAAGGACAGAAGCTTCAGCGTACTACCCTATTAAAGGAACATTTTTCTACAATTCTGGATGATAACTTTCTTATACTTAAATTTCTTAGTTTTTTTGCATCATCTTGAAAAACTATTTATTTTGATCTCATCTGAGCGCCACTGAAGGGACCATAAAGCCACATATGGCTCTGCAGCCGCAGGTTGCAGACCCCTCGTATTGATCATTACATCTTTTACAGTATTCTAATATTTTACCTTCATTATAAAATACAAAGATACTTACTGTATTTGTTTTCATTGTGCACTCCTGTTATCTTCCCGTTTGGTAGGACCTGAATATGAAAGCCGATGCCCACATTACAGTAAAGTCTTCTGATCCTTTTTATCCCCAGCAGGTACTGTCCATCTCTCTCTGCATCTTCCCTTTTGTTTAAAGTGTAGCTAGCGCTGTGCACCAGCGATCTGGCATTCTGTATGCTGAGTGTAAGGGTGGCATATAAGCTGCAAAGAAAGATCCCATAAAGGAAAAAAGAGAACTTGGACCTTGAAAATGACATACTCTACATACCAATAGCAAAACAATACAGGTACTGCCAAATCAAATATTTTCTAAAGCCAAAAATAGTATTAAAAACCAGCACATGTCCTAAAAGAAAGATCCAAAATTTGCATTTCTAAATGGTGAGAATCACTAGAGAGCATACTGAAACATCTCTAAATGTCTAACACAGGTTTTAATTTTTATTGTGTTTTCTAGTTTTGCTTTATCCTCAGACAGATCACAGAGTAACAGTCGCGACTTATATGTATGCAGCATTACATCACAAACCTCCTGCTGTCTTGTTTATCTGTGAGTCACAGGTGCCGTAGAAGCACAGATGGAAAATACATCAAATATGTAGTGACAGAAAACAAACAAGAACACGTAAGCATATACAAAGAATTGAAACTAATAATAAAAAAAATTGCATGCTGTCATTATAAAGGTGGGTGCTCCTTTTGGCCTTTAAAAAAACAACTATTTTAAATATAAGTAGAGAAGGTGAGGTGATGGTGGGCAGTCACTTTTGTTCTTTGGTCTTTGCAGCTGAGGATGCTTCTAAAGAATTTAATTAAGTTCAGTTTATTTCTATAGCAACAATGCACACATGAACTTTACAATTTAACCACATCATTCAGTCAAATTGATTCAAAGTTTTCTATCGAAGTAAAACCAGCTGATTGCATCGACCGATCGACTGGAATGGAATCCCTCACACTAAGCATGCTTGTAGCGACAGT